AATCTTAGTAGACCCTCCTCTGTGCTGGTAAGTGAAGGAGCCTTGAAGCTCATGAGAACAGGCTGTTCAAAGCTAAGCTACATGTACCCCCATGTAGAAGCGATAACCACTACAGTTTGAAAGCTTTTCACAAATCATAATCTTACATCTGCAAAGTGTGTGTATGGTATACTGTAGGATTTTCACAGGTCCCTCAATTTCTTGTCAAGCCAATGACTTTTTCTTCGGTCCTAGGCATAGTGCCTGCTGTGACAATTGGATCATCCAGCCCTGTCTACTTCACTCTGAACACACAGTTCTTTACTTAAAATGATCAGTCTGAGCTTACAGGAACTACACATTGTAAGACTGGACCAAACCTTACGCACAATGTTGGCATGTACACAAGCCACAACTCTTTGCCAACCTGTGAATACTGAATACGGGCAATTCACAATAGTGCGTCACCAAGAGTTTGCAACGCGTTGGCCAATCATGCTCTGATGGAGTGCTTCACCTACCGGGGGAGGGGGAATCTGTCCTACGTATATGGCCGTATATGGGTGTCTACTTACGTAAGATCGGCAGGTCATGGCGAGATGCTTGGCAAGAGCCATCCTCTCTGCCTCCTGCTCTTGCTTCTTCTCTGTCTCCAGCTGCTTGAACCGTCTCCAGTCTTCAATGACGCCTTTGGGACCCGTCTGCCAAAGACATGAGCACTTTCTTGAATGACAGGCAATCGCTGTCTGATGTGGGGAGTGGCGATCTGAGCCGATTCACAGGTCAAGTCAACCGACAGGCTAGTCGAAGGTCACAAGCTCATGAGAATTCGCAGCGGGACAAACACTTTAAAACCGACTTAAAATTGACATCAAATTGGATGAGTTGCAATTGGCTTGAGGTTGGCTTTTCATGACTTTTCATCACAATTCTCCATTCATACGATAATTCCAAGAGTTGGTCTCCAATTCAGCTATTCAAAGCAAACTGCAGTAATTTTGGAAGCATGTTCTGCGAAGCACGTACAGTACCTATGTACCTATATCAGTGTCTTCAACCTGCGCGTGCATGCTCACGTACAGGTACATGTACATCAAAGCCTTCCTTTTTATTTTACACACCTTTACTAAGCTGCTAAGGGAATAAATACAGGTGTATGTGTTTGACAGGTCTCAAAGGTGCATTTAAGACTGGCTCAGGAGAATGGATGCAAAATGTCTAAGCCACAGGCGAGAGCATTATCAGCATTCATTCTCTTGATCCGGTAGTTTAAGACGGGCCAAGCACATATTTATTCCCATTCATAAAAATACCCTTTTTGTCAGAGAGTCAAAAGAAGTCAATGATTTCCAACGATTCTGTCCTACAATTTTACTTTCATTTTCACAAACACCCCCGTCTATTTTATGGTATATTTCATGTGCATGTTATCCACAAGAATCTTCTTATATGGACTTGGCAGGCGAGTGGCAAGCTGCATGTGCACAAACTCCTGACCAATCAGAATCAATTAAACTGTCTCGTATCCATGTGCCAGCGCGTGATTTACTCAGCGGGCATTATCAAATGTTAATACACGGTCAAGTTGCGTATTGTTGAATTTGGGAGACTGTCTGAGGTATTTATGACTATTCATTCACATTTGTTAAGTCTCAAAGTTTATATTAGACAACATGCAGCAGGAGACAAAACTCTGGGTCAGGAAACATCCAGTTTAATACTTGGTACTGCTTGGAAGGCGTTACTGCAGTGGTAACATATACTCACGTCTATGTACAAGCACCATGATGTGGGTGTGTATTTTGCTAAGTGACTACACTCTGTTGGTTGAAGGTGCATGGTACTTCCAGAAATCAGGGGTCGAAAAGTGTGACAGTTCCGTGTCCCTGTTACATCTGACCTTTGTTACTTGACATGGAAATATCACCAGAATTGATCTGAAACTATTACTATTTGTTTGGCAGGTTATTTGCAATAATTCATCACTCTTGGAAATTAGAAAATATGTTCTGAACTTACAAAATCATACGTCAGATGTGACAGGGACACAAAAAAATGGACCCCTAATTTCTAGAATTACCCAAATACAGTGCCGGTGCATGTAAATCTAAAACACATGTGTTCAGCCTCCGAAAAGAGTTTCACATCCAGCCACCATCACAGGTTTATAAATACGGCAAAGTTTTGAAACTATGACAAAACAGTAACTATCTTTGAACCGTTTCAGATTTTCTCTAGCAGAAAATACTTGACGGCAAGTTACTCTGGCTATCACGTGGTGGCTCGACCCTAAACCCAGATGCCTCGTCTTCTTTGATATGGTAACACTCGACTGTGCAAGGTGTGCACTTACGTGTGTTGCAGCGCCTCCCTTGAACTCTTCCATTTCTGACGGGTCCTCGGCAGGTCCCCTGACTGTCTTTGCTCCCTCGTCGCCGCTGCCGTTGCCATCATCCGTGTCTTCCTCGTCACTGCTGTAATAGTACTGGTCCTTCTCCCCGAGGATGCGATCGTCGAATCTGTCAGCCATGCTGTCACTGGTGAGAAGAGACGGGGTCAAACCCTTCACAGAATTAAGGTCAAATTTTAACTTGTTAATACACAATACAGTGCTGATTGGTTTTGTCGGCAACAAAGTTGGCAATGACTGTTGCCGAAGACCCGTCATCTTTCAAAGTACATGTAAAAAAAGGCCATGACTTAATGCCATGTCCAGTTGACACACTGCATGAAGGGCACTGACAGGCACTTCATACGGGGAATCACCTAAATATGTACAAATGTACATGCATGTTCTTGTACATGGAGGTTGAAGTGACATCATGCAGGATTAATTTTGTGGAGAAAGAGGGCAGGCTTTTTGATCTTGAAGGAAAATGGGGTAAAAACAATGACAGCGACCACACACCCCGGGAACTTACAAGTACATGTGCATGCCACGGGACACACATGACAACAGTAAAAAATCCGCGACACACTACTGCCGACAGGTTGACTGATCTCTGATTGGCCCTTAACTTCAGTTACTGAGAGAATAGTCTTACTTTATGTATGTGTACCTACATGTACAGGTACGTACAGTGTGCACTGTCAAATCTTGTCAGGTGTCGTTTAAATTGTAAAAAGGGGAGAAACAAGTCACAGGTTAAACTTAACGAGTACTTCCAGCTACATGTAGGTTCGATTCCCAGCTCTTGACTTTTTTACATCCAAAACTTCACAACATTCTTCGTTTTTTATTGTTAAATGTAACTCCATTTAATTACATGTACAGAGCAGGTACATCAGATTTATGGCTCAGACCGAACACACCCCAACTGTGTTTGTTTGTAGTAAACGAATGGCCAAAATCCAAACCAAAATTTCACGGACTTCTGCAAAGTGGAAATCGCCTAAATACATTGGTGGTTTGATAGTGTGAGTGATCCATACAAGCAAAAGGGATTTCAGGGATACAAGCAGAAGGCGTTTTCGCGGAGTCTCCACTCTTTGGATTGACCGTTGTGAGGCCAAGGATACGAAAGGAGTCCAGTAGACTGGCCCCCCAGTCTGGATCTACTTCGAGAACTCAAAGTTACTACTGTGTGATACTCCGTGTGACTTTGAGCCAACAAGGTGTACATGGTGTGGTAACGCTATGGGGTTTGGAATCAATATTTTTGTTGTGAAATGGTTCACAGGTGTAAGAAAGCTATGAAATCAAATTTTCTCCTGTCAGCAAACGTGATTAATCTATACCTCTTAAAAAGCGGGATAACAAAGTTTCCGAGCATGAGACGAAGTATTTTTGAAAAAAAAATGAGATTTTTGCTCATCAGTTTCTCACTTCCATTGTGCATGCGTCGAGCCCACCAAGGATCACCCTTGCTCTGCATCTTGGTTCACTCATTTTCGGTGGCGGAAATGATATTTTGTGTTGTTTACATCGTGGGACCATCCTGGATGATGCTGTGACTTGGAAATACCCATAAGGCGGGACGCTGACATGTGCTGTGCTCATGTACGGCCTATGTGTAGCAGTGACAGATTACGAGACTTAAAAATCCCTCCCCCGGCACTGAAAATGGTCAAACTAAGATGCGGACTAAGTGTGGTCAGTGGTGGGTGTGACGCATACAAAGTCTGATAAACACGAATGGCATGAACACATGATGAACTGACAGGCAACGTTTGCTGACGGGAAAATTTGATTTAATACTAACTATAATAGTTTTCTTACACCTATGAAAGTTGAAACCATTTCACCAAAAAAATTTGATTCCAAAATGCCATAGCGTTACGATACCATGTAAACCGTGTTAGCTCAAAGCCTGGGGCTAGTCCACTCCATGCTAACAATTAACAATTAAACAACATCATGCCTAAATCTTAATTCTCAGATGCCTACCTCTGCCTACATACCTGAGGCTTTAATGGTAAAAGACGAAATAGAGTCTCTCCCAGCCGTTTGATCACCACATCACAACTTCACTGTTAGTGTTAACAAATATCAAAAGAAGGAAGCTGCCATATTTAGGCGTAATATTAGCCTCTAACCGTGCTTTAAAACGTACAATGTTCACGTTTGTCGAAGGCGAAAGTTCCAGCTATTGGGCTACATTACATTTTTTGGGCTATTATCTTAATCAGAGACACAAGATGGCGCTATTTAAGTTTTCTGGTCATTTTATCGCACGCGTGTTTGCACGTCTGCGGTTCATCGGGGGTCACGGTGCAGTGAACTACATGTATTCAAGTCCCATTAACAATGTACATTGTTCAGGGTTCGACAACATGCGAGCCGACACCATAAGGTTTCTCAACTAAAAATTAAAGTGTTGTTTGCCCTTAATCTCCCACTCCTTTTCACTTTTAGTGGGTTAGCCAATTACACTTTTCCTGATTTTTTACACAAAATAAAGTCAACCCCGAAAAGTGATAGTTCCCAAGCCTGCATGAGGTCATTTTTCGAATGGCATCCTACCGTTTCTTGGGCACTTAGGACCAGTAACCGATAGGCTAACAATTCTTCCTTCACATGGAAGACTCCAGAACCAAGGAGTGTGATTCTAACAAATACATATATTTAACATGGGGGAGGGGAAGGTCGCCCTTTCAAAAGAAACTCTTGAGTCACTTTTCATGCTAATGAGGTGGACCGATGGTTCACTGCACCCCTACACGTGAGAGAGCTGGCCTCATTGATCTCTGCCTGCTGGGTAATACTTGCAATATCATAATTTTTATTATAGTTCGGAAATTCCTAATGACTGGCACATAGAATTTTCTATCCACAAAGGAAGAGAACTGTTGCGATGCAGTAGTGCCGTGCATTGAGATTAATAATAAATCTCTTGTGGCGTTGTCCACCAATTAAAAAAAAATCAGACAGGAAGTGTAGGTATTCAGGCGTGTGCAATATGATGCCTAATGTGTTATTACATTTTGTTTCCAGATAAAGATAGCCTTTTGCCGGAATAAAATAGGCTGCACAGACGCTGTGTATACATGTGCATGTTTTATATTTCATTTTTTGGTAGGACTTGAGTCAACAGACCATGGGCAAAACAGTGAACCCTTGCACGTTTTCAAACTGCACCAAAACAAAATGGTAAATTGATGAACAATCAGTGGCATATGCAGGCAGGATGGGGAAAATTTGCTCTCCCCAAGACACGTCCACTTGTTGATACGTGTATCTGAATTTTTTATTCAATTCATTTCTTTGGAACTAGAAGCACCTAAGATGATTTACTGCACAATCAAACCTGATTGGGGGGGGAGTTGAAAATTCTTTTAGGGGTAAGAAAACAAGACAGTCCTTTTTTTTGTGGGGGGGGGGCATTTGCAACCCCCTCCGGCCCAAGACCTGTACCTGCCACTGTGAACATTTCACTTTCATTTTAAACACACAAACACACACTCACACTTTGGCAAAATGCACTAAGCTTTATATACATCTTTCTTGCTGTTTTCCGACTACTTCTATTCCAAAGGTTCAGTTATATTGTCTTTGCTCACAAGTCTTCAAGTGTTCATGTAGCAGATGTGAGGGGTCTGTCCTCATCAAGTAGCCTGCATATACCTGGCAATTTCCCTGCTATGTAAGACGTCGCAAGGACAAAGGTCAATTATGACCTCCTTAAATTTTCACAATGGTTACTTAAACAATTAATCATGCCTGCATGTGATCATTTGCCAAATCTGGGTTTCTAGAACTGCTTGGGCTTCGCCTCCAGAATCCTTCTCAAACGTTTTACTGTTGGTACCACATAAAACAAACGGGGCTCAGACTGGGCAAAATTTGTGCCGTTCTCAGTTGCAGAAAACATAAATGCTTTGAAACGGATAGCTAAATGAACTCATGTGGCTTAGGGCCAAATATGCACGTGTACATTATCATCAGCATTCTACCCTGGCTTCTGAATCACAGTTCACCTTCTGGCCTTTAAAATCGCGAATTACACTTGTCGTCTTTCTCCTGCAGACTGCTCTGGGAATTAAAGAAGCTGTTCAAAAATGTAGCTGTCCACCTTTCGTGCACAGTCGAGCAAATTCTTAAAACATGTCCGCATTTTCCACAAAATTAAAAGATTAACATTGCTTAACTTATGCACACAGCATATGAGTGTGTTGGCTCCCTGTTCTTATGACGCGATGCACACCAGCTCCGTATCACCCTGCCATGTGATTATGATTCTCCTGATGTTGTCTCTGTACATGTCCCTTTTACTTAGTACTGGGTGCTCATAATCTCCTTGAAGTCCCATCTGGGTTAACTGCCTGCCAACAATGCTTTTGGTCAAGATAGCGAGTCAAGGTTCACTGGTCCACATTAGCAAAGCATGGTATTACAACACCATCCATCCACAGTGCCAAGCCAAGACAGCACAGCAAGACAGGTCCCATAATTCAATTTGTGACATGAGGCTTAACGGCTTCGGATGCATGTGGGGGGGAAGGGTGGTCAGATGAGCGGATAGGCCCGCAAGATCTTGACCTCCTCCACAGGCCTTTCCTCGGTGTTGGTGTCTACCATGCCCATGCGTTTGACCACGCCCAGCCCCTCGGAGACCCGGCCGAAGATGGCGTGCTTGCCGTCTAGGTTCTGGCAGGGGGCCAGCGTGATGAAGAACTGGCTGCCGTTGGTGTTGGGGCCAGCGTTGGCCATGGACAGGATGCCGGCCCCCGTGTGGCGTAGCTCGTGGTGGATCTCGTCAGGGAACGTTGGGCCATAAATGGATGCCCCTCCGCGCCCTGTGTCAAAATAAAATGGAACACTGAATCATTTCATGACATTTTAGGGCACATTAAGTCGGCCTACACATCTAGTGAATTACCTGGAATCATTGTAAATACAAGGTAGTCTGACAAGTTAACCTTTTGTGACTTTTTCCAAAAGTACACTGTACACGTACTTTTCAAAAAACGAGCATGACATTGCCACAGGCCTGACTAAGCATGAAGAACATATCAGACTCATCTTTTTTCCTGGTGGGTCTTTAATGCAGATTTTCTAACGTGATGGCAGAGACTCAACAAGCTCAATGCACGGAGGCCAACACATGCGAACCTCAAATGACCACAACAGAGTGAGAAATGTAAGTCAGATTGTCTAGAAACTTCTTAGATGTACATGTACTCATTGTGAGTAACCTCAGATGTGGTTCCAGCTGCGAGATGATCTGAAAAAGCCCTGCTCTTTACAATGTTAAGGGTATGACGGTCACAACAGGGGGCGCTATTTGGTTTGAGTCAAATCTTTGGTGTTTACTCCAAGGTTAACACTTCCAACAGCTCCCTCCTACAGTGTCCCCCTTGCTTCTACAAGGCTAATTGTAAGGAGGTCCTGCTCGTCTTCAGAATCTACACAGCTGCATAAGACAACACCAGCTGTCCAAATCTGCATGTACCTGTGCCCGAAGGGTCGCCGCCTTGCACCACAAAGTTGGGGACGATGCGGTGAAATATGATGCCATTGTAGTAACCTCTTCTAGAAAGCTCCACAAAGTTCTTGCAGGTCTTTGGGGCGTGCAGCCAGTACATCTCCAGCGTAATTTTGCCCATGCTGTGTGAGTGAAATTAAAAGCATCCTATCACTTGAGGCACCAAGTGTGGCAAAGTGGCAACCATAACTGCATCAAGGCACATAGTTTACATAAATCTGGGAAAGGGCGGTGAATCTGGCCAAATTTACTGGCAAAGTACAGTACAGTACTGGTGCATGCACCGGTAGTGCTTTTGGTTAGCAAGTGAGCTAATCAGACCCATCATACCATCAGAATGATGTTCATTCTTTAGGGACAGTGTGCCTGTGAGTGTCTGGTGTTAACAGCGATGGTTTACTGTCTGTCTGTAGTCGGAGGAGGGGACAATTAATGCCTGATGCCATTGGGACACACTGGTCCTTGGTTGAGGCTAGTCATGCTAGTGTGTTGTACACACAAGTACAGTACTTACACTACGTGTCCAAGAATGCAGGCTAATTTTAGACATGTTAGAACTTTTGATGATCATGCGATGTTAGGGTGCACTGTCATTAGTAAGTAACGTCCTAGAGGCCTCCTGTGCCGTGACCATACACACAAGACCAATCATGGCTTTGGCCCTATTACTATTCGCATTCGTCAGCTCAGAGACCTTATACATGCAGTTACAGGTGCAGTACACAAGACCGATGTGAAGTTAGTTCCTCAGTCGACATTCATTGATGAACACGTAATCGTTTGATATTCCAAAGTTGAATAAGTAAAGTTCTGTTTGACATTCAAGATGCACATCCTTACAAATGATGGAGTGCAAAAGGGACAAAATAAACCAAACTGCGCCACCGCGCACATCCATTCACATGCACATGTACAGTGTACCTTATTTACATTGTACATGTACATGCCATTTCACAATGATGTATGCATACACAACTCTCTCCTACAGAGGCAACCCCGAGCATTACCCCATGCCTCGCCAGGAGATTACATTGTATATGACCTCACAACCCAAACCCCATGCCTCGCCCGGAAATTACATGTACATGTACATCCATTCAATTGAATCTGATCTCACTTTTCCCAATCAGCAACAGTTCCTTCCAACCCCAGCTGGGCATGGGGTTTTTCGGGGTCAAAAAAGCTCTAAAATGTACATGTGCAGTGTATGTGACCATTTGATTCTTTTACAGCAATATGACTATTAGAGGAAAAACGGTTAATTTATAAGCAGTAGATATTAAACTAGAAACTTCCGTACAGGTATTCTGCCAACAGTCCTTTCTGATCGGTCCAAATCCATGGCGTATTTATTGCCGGCAACGAAATGCCTGGAACTATTTTACCGGTATAATACCAACGCTGCAGGCATTTCGATGGCGGCAATAAATACGTCATGGATTTGGACCAATCAGAAAGGGCTGCAAGCAGAATACCTTTACGGAAATTTTTGCCGTTGCCGGTTTAACATATACTGCCCATTCATACATGTTATTTTCATCGCATTTCATCTCAACTTATTTTCAAATTGTTTCTGTACACTTTAGCAACCCTGCTGCCTCCATTTCAACCAGGGCAACGCAGTTTTCCATGGTCAAAACGGCTTTGACTAAAGTCTTGTTGGTGTTCTTTGCTTGCAAACAAGATAGGAAAGGGAATGCATCGCACCACACTTTTCTCGAGTCAAAATAAAATACCCAAACCGCATGCCCTGCCTGGAGATTACACTGAATCTGATCTCACTGTTCTCCTCAATCAGCAACAACTCCTTGCTACTCAGGGTATGGGGTTTATGGCTGTCAAACAAGACCTGAAAATGTAGGTGTCATAGTTTGTTTTTGGTCCGTTTTGCATTCTACTCTTCCTAGAGATATGAATCCTGAGCGGTCGCGGAATGTCAAAGGGTTACTAACTGAGCATTGGAATATCAGAGGGTTACTTGCTTCACGGAACACTTGGGCAGTGTGCGCCAACAAACACCTGGTCTCACTTTTGCCCAGCACTTTTGCGCGCCGCCACATTCCCTCGGTGACATAAGCGTCTGCATCCTGCGGAATGCGTCATCTAATGTACAGAGTAACAAACTGGAGCAGTGCGTCATTTTTTTTTGGAACTTGGAACGCTGCATCCAGGGGATATGAACGTGGATTTTTCCGCGTTCATTCAGAACTGAATCTACTTGCCCTGAAGCAGGTACTCAGTTACCGAAACTCGGCAATCATATATTTCAGAGCACTGATTTGATATCATATTCTTGTCAAGTACATGTACATGTACATGACATGTACATGTATTCGTTGGGCCGCCCTGTTTACGGGTCTAATAATGATGTACAGGCTATTCCGACACATCGAGTTCGCGTCCAACAAGTCACGGTCGACATTTTTTTTACAGTGGTGACAGAGCGGCTGACCATGGCCTACTGTACCCGGTATACCTTGTTTCCAGTTGAACACATGGTGGTTCTTGGTGGGCGGAAGACATGGCTCTAGTGATACACCAACAGAGGTCCGAAGGCACGAAAAAAGTAGAGATATCACGTAAATGCCGAAAGCCTCAGAAACGACTACACGAGTGCGCCACGCGTTTTCGAGAATAAAGAATGTCGCCCTCTATTGTCATAATTATGACAGCCTTACTCACGGGCCGATATCTCGGGCGGCTTGTTCCCGTATGTTCACCAACTGCTCGCCGAGTTCGGGCGGCTTGCTCCCGTATGTTCACGAACAGCTCAATTTTGTTGTTCGTGGGTCGGCCGCTCGAACGCCGGGAACAAACAACCGGTTATCGCTGGTAGTTAGTGACATGCAACATGGAGGCGTCCATGTAGGCTACGTTATTCGAGAGTTAATGTCTGGATGGGCTTAATTCTTTTCTATATAAACAGGAACACTCATTTCTGTGTTATGGAAAATAATTAATGTTAATTTTGCAAAACTTCCCATTGCCTATGGCTTTGGAAGCCATCTTTCTACTATTTTCAGCTGTTCGAAAATCAAAATCTCACGAGTTTTTCGTGTGTTCCTGTAAAACCCTGACGAGGAGGTGGTGTGTAATCTTGTTCCGAGAACAGTGTTCTTGAGTCGTTCCCGCGGTTCGAGCGCGAGAACAAGAAACCCGAGTCAAGAACAGGCCGCCCGAACTCGACCGTGGGTTGCCACGGTGCGGACTCTAGTACATGAACTACGTTTCCGTAGTTTGACTGAATTGTCTGGCAACGGTTACATTTCACAGCCAAATAAGCCGTAGGCTAGGATGAAAACTAAAATTACTCAAAATTGGGCCCTACTGTTTGGGTTAAGAAGTCTGGATTGATTTAACTAAACTTACAGTGCCTGCGAAATTTGTTTTGAAGTCCGTAATCAAGTGGACGCTGTATTATGGACCAGTTCTAGGGAAGAAGTTGGATTACCGTATAGGTTTATTTATGAGACACAATGAAAGAAGTGTAAGTGAACTTAATTCAGCAATGACATTTGGATGAAAATGTATTTGCACGTCATAAGACTGAGTGGCTTGTCTTCAGATTGTCCCTGGCCAAATATGAATTCAAAGAAGTATCTGAGAATTAACTTGAAATTTATACATTTACACCGTTCAGGTTTTGATAGAAATCTAAGGCACTATTTGGCACAATATTACTGAAATTTCATTTGTGAGTCGGAAAGTGGTACTGGACAATTTATGTGTGATTTTGTGTTATATGTTATTCAGATGCTCCTTATAACACCACACTCAAACCGAGTTGAAGGGGCTTACCAGAAACAGTGAGTTGTAAGGGACACTTAAGACCAACAGTCACTAACACCGAGGGCTGCCAAGAGCAACTACTGAGGCGGTCAATAACTGGACTGGCGGATTACAATTTGAAAATAAAACTATATCGCTGAGAATTTATTTGTGCATCTGTTTTATCATCCAGGTAACGTAACAATCCAAATAGGCCTGTTATGTAACGGGTGAACGCTGAATTCCAATCGCAATGGGTGCATCATGCTGCAATGCACCGACGTGATATTTTTTTGGACAAGCTGCCCATCCGTCTTTCATAGACGGCCATTTGTAATCAATCCCGTCAACCCCAAGGACCCTTGCAATGGCATTTAAAATGATTTGAGGGTGTCCCTGGGTGTCTTCCAATGCCTACAAATAAAAAAAAAAATCCGAGAAAAAAGGTCACAATACGGTCGCAGCACCTTTTATCCATTGGGGTGGGGGTTCCACCAAGTCAACAAATATGTGACCCCCCCCCACATAAAACTATCCAGACAGCTGTCTAGACAGCTCAAAGAAACATCACAGAGAGAGAGGACAGGCCGTAGCTCGTCTATGCAGCCTTTGCGTAAACAATGCCATAGGGCCACGTGGCAGAGACATTTATTGCACATTCCTGTGGGACCTAGCAAGAGGCTGGCTCTGGTGAAACTTACACCTGCCAAGGGGAAGTCCCTACCTCAAAGGCGACCAAACTAGGTTATCCAGTATGGACAGAGGTAGAATTAGCTGGAAAGTCTCCGCATTTGGCGTAAATTTATTTTTTTTAATTAAGAAATTACGAAAATGGCCGTCTATAGCTGACGGAGGGCGCTCTACCCAGGGCAGGTTATGAAAGTGAAATCAGAGCTCGATCGAATAATTGGATTCTAAGTTAGTTTGTAAATATACTACTCCAAAAAAGACCACTTTTTTCTTATCTTGCAAGTTTTTCCCAAGCAATAAATGGGGTGTAGATCTTTCATTTTTTGTTTGTCTAGATATGGTATTCTCATTGGAATAAAAAAAAAATAAAAAGTGTTTCAAAACATCAAAATAATGCACACTATCAGCGGTAAAATATCCATTTGAAGCAAGATATCGGACGGAGAGAGAGAGATTGGTCATTGTTTGATCAGAATCTCAGGAATTCTTTACAGACTTCTGGGGGGTGTGTGCTAGGTAACAATAGTCTGGCTTGTGTATAGGGATTGCCAGGTAAGGGGGGAGGGGTACCCCTCCGTCCCATATCTTGCCTGGTATAAAAATATCTCATAATTATAATATACACAAAATACAAAGAGGTCCACAACTTTTTTGAGTAGTGTATGTCAGAAAATTGTATAAAATTAAAAGTGTGTTTTAACGAACCCTGGGGTCACCACATCACGTCAGTTCAATATTGATCCTACCGGACAAGCCTGACTGGAGTAAGTCCACAGTCCGCCTTATTTTTGTCCTCACAGTGATAGGGGGCGATTCAAAAGCCCCTTCCCACCAAAAGTGTGTGGGGGATATTCCTACCCCTCCCGGGATTTACGCCTGTCTTCTGTACGGTAGACTTGTTGTAGGCCTAAAGTCGGCAGTGCAATGATACGTTTGGCAATAGACTTGAAACATAGTGAGGTAGTAAGGAATTTGACAGTTCGACTCCACCCCGCTTTTCCACTCTGTTTCCTCACTCTTCACCGCCCACAGCGCCAGGGTTTCCCACTTTACTCACCTTGACCTTTGGCCCCGGCGCTTCTACTGCTCTTACACTGCACAAAAGGGTCTTTCCCTCGCTTTCCCAACCGTACTGCTCTTGCACTGCACAAACAGGAAATTTCCGGTCGCTACAAGTCGCCGAGACTTGTCCGGCCTGAACTTGTGACTTCTACTTAAAGCGCGGCTCTGTTTAGGTCAAATGCGCTCTGTTCACGACCACCTTAAATAAACGGACTATATATAAAAAATAACAATATATATATATATAAAAGTGTCCAGTCAAGTCGTCAGAAAAAAATGAGAAAATTTTAACAACCTAGATATAAACAGAGACATGAACAACCCAAAACACAGACCACTATTATCAACCTTCAATCGATTCAAGAAAGCGTTTTTAGCAGATTTTGTCAAGCGTTATAACATTCCATTAAGGCACCCATGCGTAAATTTCACACTAAGCCCGAACTCGTTCAAGCCATCCGAACGAACCAAAAGCAATTCAGGTACCTCCCGCGTCAGTCATATCGTCAGCTGTTGAAAACGGTCCAAGACAACGACATCCCATTTACGCACAAGGGCAGAGTCGTAAAACAAGATCTCATCAAAGCGATTAAAGCTTACACTCAACCCGAAGAAATGGCAGAAGTCGACATTAGAAACGTGAGGCGCTTTCAGGGTATCTACCACAATTGGGAATTGATACCCGGTTTCTTTGAATACGATCTCGTGCACTTTTTTGATTTTTACAAAACTTTCATCGAGAAGAAAGCGTTAGACGAGTTAAAGGAAATCGGTTCTTATAAACTTATAAAACATTTTACAATTTGAAAATTACAAGAACAAACAAGATGTACCTTTTGTCATTTACGTTGATTTCGCTGAGTCTGTTTTAGAGCGTCTCTCCTCATTCTCATCAAACACCGTCAAAACCCAGATCCACAAGCCCTGCGGCTATACTTACGCAGTCGTGAGATGCGACGGTAAATGCACGAGTCAAAAGACGTACTAAAGTTCGATTAAACCATTTCACGATCCCCTGCGACCGATGTACGCCCGGTTCACCCGTTTGAATTTCTACCCGATGTTTAACCATCAACTTTTTGAACTCGCCTATAAATTATGACCCCTAGTCTACCATTATTAACTCAGGCCAAGTCAAAGGTGGCCTTTTGTAAATTTTCTTCACGGTTTCTAAGTAGAGGAGGAACGTAAATGTCACGACTTAGCCATAGAACAACTGACACAAGCGAAAGAAACCTGGCAAGAAAATCGAGCTCCTTTGCTAGACTTTCTAAACGAGCGCATGAAACTAGAGCACACGAGTCAACAGACGTTTGTAGACGTGAACGAAGTTTTACGGGCTTACTCGGAGTTGACGGGTAAAAAAATTTGAAGAAGTTTACCACCAGAACCCAAGTTATCAGATTTCTGCGTGCCGTCCACGTCCGAAGATCAAAAGGTTAGAGAATTGGTGTGGATTTTAGGCAGAACTGATTTGTTCGGTTTTTTGGTGTACCGGTACAGTTAAGTTCACTGTATTTTAAAAGAACTTAAACTCAAAAATGAACCAAGAAATTAAAAATCAACTGGCAAAAATTCAAGCTGACACGACAAACATCGAGCAAATGCTGGGTGACATACTCGCTGATATCGATCATATTGGTGACATGCTTTTAGAGATTCGAAGTGAAATGTATTGTAAGCGAAATAAATTAATGGAATACCAAGAAATGTTCTTTGAGGCCGGTGTATCATTTATCGCGCTATCCTTCTTGTTTAAGATTTTCCAAGTAAAATAAAAATCGTATATTATAAAAGTAATATATTAAGAAAAATGTCTCAACAATACACCAAAAAACTAAGCCCGAGTCGCAGGCTCAAAGTACTTCGCGCGATCAAAGGCGAAAGACGCGAAGTAACCATCACCCATAACCCGAGGACCATAGCCGCTGGTCACACGTTAAACGTAAAATTCCCCGCGTTAGGCATTGACGACGTAATAGTACTCGGCACTGCGAAACTGGCTTTTAAACTTGATTTAGACGGTGCGTCCGACGATAACCGGACTGTGTTTAACAACAGGGCGAGAAACTTGGTTTCAGAAATCGACGTCAGCTTAAAGGGAAACAAAATCGTCAGTTTCAAAGAGGCGGACGTATTTCACAAT